ATACAGGGCTTTAGAATATCGATACAGTATCGGGAAATGAAATATCGCGATATTTCAGTGTATCGATATTTTCTTACACCCCTATAATAAACACATTAACACATTTTACGCATCCTTATTTACATTTTTCTACTTTAGCTCTGGTTTAGAAATTGTTCTAGACTAAGATCTTGAGCTGAAAATCTATCAGCTAAACTGACCTCATAGTTTTAAGATCTTACAAATATTACAGTGTTTTACTGCGTTGTTGCATTACTGTACTAACAAATGGTGAGTATATTATCTGATTGTCCTGATGCATCTCAGTCATCCAGGAAGAAAAATCAAAAGGAAAAAATAAGTAGGTCAGACTGAAGACGAAATATTTCACTAAAGAAGAACCATCCAGAGGACATGCTTATTTTTTACTTTTGATATTATCTGATTATTTATCCGCCTGGTGTTCTGCAGTCAAAATGACCCACAAGCCCTCAGTTTTAGGCCTCGTGAATTATTTGCAGCAGCAGTATTAAGTAATGCTTTTCATGTTGAAGTATTATTATTACCTAATGTCATGAAGGACACCTGAGATAATTAAATGAACGTATCTGCACTGGCTTATCATTTGACCAAATTACTACAGTATAGGTTTGAAGTTTTTATCTGTCAACTCCTGAAAAACTCAGCAATCTCATGGTTTCAGGGTGATTTACTTACAAAAATCTTAATCTATGTCAAACACAAGTTTCCATTTAAGTTAGGCTACAATAAAACAACAACACAAGTCAGTCCAATGTGTTAAATTAAACATGTTACCTTCAGAGGTCCAGCTGCCTTCATTCTTCACCTCAGTCAGCAGCAGACTGAGAGCTCAGCTTCCTCTTTCAACACCTCCCTGGAGTTACCACATCCGCCAAGWACAGGACTACACACCAGTGTGGTTTCACTGATCACAACATGTGACTGATGAGCTGAAGTTCTCCTCTGTCTGAGCTCTTCTCAACAACGCTCTGTCGATGAAAAAATGTCAAATATATTTGGTCCAAGATAGATTATAATCTGGTCCAATAGCTACTTATTCTATTTTAAAAAACTTTATTAACAAAAACAGGTTTAGAAGTCCAGCTGTGACTTTTTAAACACACTGAGATGGACAGTGCTGAGAAAATTTATTATTTCTCCTTACTGGAATAAACACTGTGTGTGTGTGTGTGTGTGTGTGTGTGTGTGTGNATTTTAATGAGGAATTTTTGATGTCCTTATAAAGAGGAAACCTCAAATTATATTTGAATATTGAGATTTACCAGATAAAAAGAAACAAACTTTACTAACTCACAGGGAAAATCTCAACATTTTAAGGTGTTTTTCCTCAAAATCAGTTTTTTGTTGCTACTGTTCAAAAAAGTGCTGCAAAATTTTGTTTTATTATATTTCAGACAGTTCATTCAAATGATACATTAATAAGACTTTTATTCATTATATTTTTGACAAAATGTAATTTTTAACATTTTAGTCAAAACACTATATTTAACTGTTTCTCGACTTTTAGACTTGATCCTTGTTTTGATGTGACGGCTCACATTTTCTCTGAAATGAACAGAAAGCTGAGCAGCTCAACAGCTTCACAGGGTTTGATCCGTTCCACTCCAGCGACCTGCCTGTGTGCCTTTGAGCAGGACTGAGCTCAGCACAGACGGCTGAAGTATGGACCCTGTCCTCTGTGTCCCCGCTCAGCCAGTCTTCTGAACATTTCCAGGCCGTGCCTCAGGCTGTTTGGTGTCAATCGTCCTCAGGGTCGCTGTCCTGTCGTGTAGGAAGAGAACTTCTGATCGATGACATCATCTTGTCTTCGATTTGTTTCCTCGGGTTTTCTTCCAGGTCTGTTTTCACCGCTCCGGTCTCTGACAACCTCCACTCCAACTCTGAAACATGAAGAGAACAGGTCAGCATCATTACTGAGGCTTTTATTTGCTCAGCCAACAGGTGGGGGTCTACCTTCAGCTCTGAGGTTCATGCCTCCAAACACCAGAGGACCGATGAACTGGCCCTTCATCTCCCCCTCGAAGTAGACGAAGATGGTGGGCAGGTTTCGGTCAGGGTAGTTGGGGATGCAGGTGGTGGAGATGGACTTCAGGAACTTGGTCTGAGGGAACTTCCTGGCCAGGGTGCTCAGGTGTTGGTTGATGAGGGTGCACAGAGGGATGCTGGGACGGCAGACGAAAATCACCATTAAAGTCTTTCAGGTCTGGGCGGTATGACCTCACACTCATATCAGGGTATAAACTGAATCCCTTCACAGTAACGCTATACATCACTGTAAAAATGATCAAAAAAAGCAAATGTCATTTTTAGATCAGAGGTTTCTTCACCTTTTTGACCTCAGGGTCCAATTTGTTGAACATAAAGTGACACGAGGTCCAGTCAGACATTACCAATGTATGGATCAAAATGATAATTATTATAAATCGTGGTTTAATTTTTATTGTATTTACATCATAACTAAAC